GGAGGCCCAGGAATGGGCCAGAGGCTCCGCTTCCTCTGTTCTGGGCTAGAACCTACCTTGGCCAGAAGTCAGGCTCTGCCACCCCAGCAACGGGGCCCAAGATGTCTGAAAGCCCCACCATAAACTTCTTAGACTCGGGTCCCATTCAAAGCCCACTTTCCCCCTAGTGGGACATGGGACGGCAGGGCCCTTTGAAGCATGCTACTCTGTCACCTCTTCTGCCTGCCACATGCTCCCAATTCCATGGTGGTCTGTGGGTCCTGGGAGAAAAGTTAAGTACTGATCCCAGGGAGGGGTGGCACCTCACCTTCATGGAGACCCAAAATTGCACAAGGCATTTGCCCATCCCTCCAGAATACCCCAGGCAGGAAATAAGGCCTCTGTTTGATGGATGAGGGAATGGAGGCTCAGAGAGTGGCAGGGACTTACCCAAGGTCACCCAGCAAAGTGAAGGACTCTTCAGAGTATCTCCAGAAAGGAAAAGCTACAGTCAGAGAAAGTGTAGAGGAAGCTCCTGGGACAGGGCTGGGTAAGGCTCAGTTTGGGTCTCATGGTTCCCTCCACCAAGGTCGGAGACAGGGAGACAATGAGCTCCGGGCCAGGACCAGGGCCCTGGGTTCTGCTCCCCCTCAGCCCTGAAGTTCCCCTTTCCCAGGGCAGCTGGCAAGCCTGCCAATTCGCGTCAGGCCCGGCTGGGCTGCTGAAGAGCTGTGGTGTGAGGCTGGACTCATTCCTGAACCTTATTGGTTTAGACAGCCAGCCCGGTGATTTTTTTTTGGCTGCTCAGATGAATTTTTTTTAAAAAAAATAACAATGTTCAAAGAACCTGAGCATTACAGAGGCAGGAGGGACTCTCGATGTCATCTACCTCAGTCCTTTGCCAAGACTTCAACTCTCTACCAAGTTTCCAGCCAGTGGGCCTTACTGTTTCTGCTCACACCCCTCCCCTGACAGGAAACTCACCACCTGCAGGCACCTGTCCATCCTCGGACAACTTTGGCTTTGTAGAAACTATCCCACCAGCAAAGCTAATGTCTGTCCCCTCCCTCCTTCGCTTCCTTCCTTCCTTCCTTCCTTCCTTCCTTCCTTCCTTCCTTCCTTCCTTCCTTCCTTCCTCTCTCCTTTCTTTTCTACACAGCTATTGAGATGAATATATAAAGGTGAGTTCATGCGACTCTTGCCATTGAGGAGTTCACAGTCCAACTGGAGAGCAGGTGTGCAATTAGTCAGTCTCAGTGGGTGTCATGATAGATGCTAAGAAAGCATAAAGGAATTGCAGGGGGCTTCCTGCAGGAGGTGTCATTTGAGTTGATCCTCAAAAAATGAGCAGTTAGGGGTAAGAGAAGGGAGTTTCCAGGCCTATGAAGTGGCATGTGTGAAACATGCTATCTAGTCTAGAAATGACAAATGCAGTTCAGACTGGCCAGGGACAGAGTGGAGGAGATGAGAGATGTGGCTGGCAAGGTCTCAGGAGGGCCCACTCACAGAGAGTCTAGAACCTGGCTGAGGACTTTGGTTCTTATCCTGCGGCCATTGAAACACTGTCACCAGCTCCAATTCTGTTCTCTGCCGTATAGGGTGTCATCAAAGTTGCAATTCCCAGGTAGAACTTTTCTTGTCCTTCAAGGTGTTTTTCATAAGCTTTCCTTCCTTGGGACCTGCTGTGACAATGGCCCCAGACTGGAGACTGGGCAGGTGGGATAAGGGTCCTGAGCCTCTAGGTTTGCCTGTCTGGTCGAAGCCAGGAAGTAGACGACAGAGCATTCAGCATGAGGAAAATTCGCTAATGGCCTTTCAGAGAAAAAGCAAACTTGCCAGTCAGTACAGGTTTCCGTGCTTCCTGGTCTCCAGGTCTTTTGACTCTCAGAGACGGCCCTTTGCAGCTCCTTGCAGCCTGAGCATACTTCTTCACGATCCCTACCTCCACCTGGCTGCCGGCGCGTTAGAACAGCTTGGAAGACTGGAAGACATGGTCATGCTGGCCAGCCTCGGAAAGCTCCTTGGTCATTCAGTGAGGTTTCCTGAGAGACAGGGAATCTAAAGCCACCACTAATCTGCTGCCTAACCTTAGGCAGGTCACTTAACCTATTGGCTCTCAGTCCATCCATCTTCTCTGCCTGCCTCAAGGTCAAAATGTGAAAGCCTTAAGAAGTATACACGATGCTCTCAGAACAACAGGGGCATTTTATGAGGCTGAGCACATAGAACGTGCTGGAAAAAATATCAGTAGTGGTGAAAAGATCATTTCCAAGGGTGTGAGTGCCTGTTGATGGAATGGGGCTCTCCAGCCCAGGATGAGAGAATTCACGTGCTCCAGCCATTCAGATTTCTGTAAATGTGCCTCAGGTCTCCTGGGAGATAAGCAGCAAGTTCAGTTCATTTCAAACCCTGGCCAGTGGGTGGTCCTCAGAGATCAGTGAACTTAGGCTGCAGATGTCTGACCCACGCTGGCTCTGGCTGTCCTGTCGGCACATGTCCACCTAATCAGTTAGCCCATCCATCTTTCTTTAGATGCTTGAGTACTTATTTGAGGGAGAGTCTGGAGTCCCCCAGTCTGCCCAGAGGAGGAATATGGGGAAGACTAGGGTAGAATCTGCCTGATCAGAGCATTGGGCAGGATAACCTCTAAGTTCCTTCTAGGAATCTAGGACTGCGCTGCTTGGCCATCTCAATCAGGAAAGGTGGCCCAACACGGAGACTGGCACCGTGTGTGCTTGATAATCACACACTGCATTAATTTACCTCTTTGGCCACGTGCCTGGCACAGATCTGGGCACGCAGTGAGGTGCCTAGACTGTTTATCCAAATGCTTCATCTTTAATTAACCTCAAGTTCCATCTCAATACATCGCATGCCACACTCTGCCCCGAAGAGAGGGAAATCTGGCCTGTGTGTTTCTAATTCCTTTACACTTATCTCATCCAAATAGTGCTCTGCACGATGTGTTTGATGTCCCCCAGGCCTTCTGAGCCTGCTTTGTAAGTCAGCTAAGCCCCTTCCTGCTCAGAAATAGGAAGTCACGTTTCTGCCAAGGATAAACCCTGGCTGGGGTCAAGCTCAGTTTACAGCATGGTGCCCATGGAGCTGGCTGGACCCTCTGAAGTAGAGCTCAGGGCTCCTGCCAGGTCTCAAGCTCAAACACATCCATCCGGGGCTGAACTGAAAAGAATTCAGTTGCCTGCCAAGATGCCAGTGGGACCTCTGACCATCCAATGAGCTGTCCTGAATTCTACTACCTCAGAAGGAAGACAGCTGCTCCACTGGGCACGATGGTACTGGGCTAATCAGTCACTACCAGGCCTGCCGGGGAAACAAACCCATTGTACAGTGATACCGGAGAGCACTGGTCTGGGAGTCAGCAGACACCCAGCTGTGCAGCCTTGGGCAAATTCTGCTCCCCCTGGGCCTTATTATTACTCTTACAGGTACTGTTGTCTGTCAAATGAGGGGTTCTTTCTGCTCTCGGTTTCCAGGATCCTCTAACTGATGAACTGCTAGCCCCATGAGGGTTCAGGGCTGGAAGGAAGGCCGCCACACTGGATCCACTGCCTTCTCAGCCACCACCTTGGGGACAGAAGAGCTAGGTCAGTCTCTCTGAGTCGTAGTGGCCTGACTGTCACCATCTGGCTGCCTTCCTGCCTTCCCAGGCACCCTACAGCTGTCCCTTACTCCCTAACCTCTCATTTGGCAGAAAAGCCTCTCATCGGCTCCAAGATAAGTTGGGGCATAGGACACGTGGCACACACAAAGAGCCCTTTGGCAAGACTGACCAACATGAATAACAGTGGCCAGTTTCTTTGGCTGGAGTAAGAAGCTTGTGCTGGCCCAGTGGGGGGAAGCCTGCCTCCCTGGAACCTTCCCTGTGTAGAGAGAACATGGCAGACTATGATCCAGGAGGCAAGCATCACTTTGGAATCACACTGATCTGGGGCATGTCCTGACTGGGTGACATTGAGCAAGTCCCTTTGCCTCTTTAGGGGGCTCAGTTTCCTCATCTGTGAAAGGGGGACAATTGCCTCTCATAGAACTGCATGAGGATCAGGGATAAAGTCAGTATGCAAAGTGCCTGCCACAGTACAGGCTTCGGACAAACGGTGGCTCTCATTACGATTGTCACCGTGTCAGTCCCTGTCCCTGAACTGCCCTTCTGTGCCCACTTCTGTCCTTCTGCCAAGCTCATCCCATTTGGCCATTACTTTAGTAGCATCTCCTGTAACCCAAGCTGGATTAATGCTGTCAAAACAGAGAGGCCTGGATTCACATACTGGATCTCCCACTTGCTGTGTGACCTTGGGCAACCACCTTCCTCTCTCTGGATCTCAGTTTAACCATCAGTCACATGCGGCTGGGAAGCCACCTCCCTCAGCACCAACATCCCTCCTCTACCCCAGTGCTTTGGTCAAAACACTTACCAAGAACTCTGGAGGCCTGTTCACAGACACCCAGGGGTTTCAAAATAGCAGCATTCTCTTTCCAAAAGTATCTTCCCAGCCCTAGGATGCATCCAGGGGAGGGAAGGACCGTCAGCGTTCACATCTGTGACTCCCAAATCCAGCTTCACAAAAGCTATGCCTGTCTGCCTGCCCCTCCCTCTAAGGTCCCCACAGTAGGAGAAGCCAACCCCAGACACTGGAGGCTTCTGCTGATCCAGGAGGAAGCCAGTTCAGACCCACGGTCCGCATGAGGGTCCCAGGAGTCCTGACAGCCTGGGTTCACCTCCTCGGTGGGTGTTGGGGCTAACTAAGGGGTTATTAACATAGGCCACATAAAAATAGTTTTATCAGTGGAATAAATACATTTTTCTTTTTTAATATGGACACATATTTTACAAAAGAACCCCATAGCACTATGGGAAATTAAGATCCTTCTACAAAAAAGAAGATGTAACTCGGGTACAGTAAAGCTCTAGTGTTCTAACGGATCCCGTCTGGACTGCCCGCCTGTGAGGAGTCAGGCACCCCTGGAGGTGGTGGCAGGGGCCGCGGGGTGTGGCCACAGACCCTCCTGTGGTTCCTCTGGCTTCTCCGCATGGGGCAGTCGAGGTCAGGAGGGCCCGAGGGTACGCAGTAGGAAGGAGGCTGCCGCGCTGGCAGCGACGACGACGGCAGGGAGGAGGCCCAGGGCCGGCTGCAAACGGGCAGGCGCTGAGCTGCTGGCAGAGCCCAGCTCTTCCTGCTGCTGGAGCTGGTCGGAGAGCTGGAAGGAGGGCCTGGCGGTCCCAGAGCTGTGCGTGGGCTGGAGGGGCAGCGGGGGTGGCGAGGCGGTGGTGCTGGGAGGAGAAAACACAGAAACTCTGAGTGACCACTCAGTAGCCCCATCCTAGGCTGTGCCCTTGGGGTTCAGATCTGATTTATCAGATCTACTTTTCTCCCCCTCCTAGAATGCAAAAGAAAACAAAGGGCTCAGACAGGGAAAGTGAGCAGCCCAGAGCCACACAGCAGGCCACTGAGCTCCTGAGGTCATGCTCACCCTCCTATGCCAGGCTTTGGGGGATGGGCTAGGCACTAGGGGCCACAGGGCTCAAGAGAACTGGATCCCAGGCAGGAATAATTAAAGTGTTATGGAGAGAGCCATCTGAGGTCACAGTGGTCCATTAACCTTCACACCTACGCATACAGGGACCATGGCCCTCCTACTTCCTTCCCCTTCCCTGTCTGAAGTAAACAGAAAACAAAACATACAACCCCTGCCCATCTCATTATGCCAGCTACCATTTATTGAGAGTATCTTTGGTTCTCTAAACAAACCTTCACAGTGGCTCGCATCACCCCCTTCACCAGAGGAGGAAGCTGAGGCTCAGAGAGGCTACATGGTGACCAGGTGACAGAGGAAGTAGAGGCAGCACCTCCACAGGGCAGGAGCCCTGGGGTCAGCATAGCCACAGGGAGTTTTAGTGAAAGGTGCAGTCCTTCATGAACTTATAAAAACAGAATCCAGTGTTGGAGGTCCTGGTGAAGAATCTTGGCTCAGGAAAGCATATGTGAAAAAGAGGAGGGAGGGAGAGACAGAGGGACAGAATGAGACAGAAAGAAAAGGAGATCAATACGGAAGGAATTGGCAGGCGGAGCCACCAGGTGCCACCAGGAAGCAGAGGGTAGGACTGGGGCCTGGCAGGGTGCGGGACCATGTTACCTTCTAGCTCAAGTCCTAGAAAGAGAGATAGGAAGTTATGAACAGAGGGACAGAGACTGGAGAAATGAGGGGGCAAGACAGAGACTTAACAAAGGCCACAGGAGGAGAAAGCTTCGAGAAAGAGGGAATGGCTGGGTCCTAGAAACCATTGGCACACTCTCCCTGTGGAGCCCTGGGCAGAGGGAGGCAGATGGACATGCAGGCAGAGGATCCAACAAGCCCCACAACACCTGACGGGTAGGATGGGAGGGGAAACCCAGGGGCAGAGGGCACACAGAGGGGCCTGAATCCAGAGCAGGGCCAGGAAGGCTTCCTTGAAGAGGTGACTCCGCAGTCACCTGTGAAGACAGCAAGTCTAACTTGCATATGACTGAGGGTGCTCCCAGAGGGACAGGGAAGTACTTACAGAGTGGGGCCTGTGCCAGCTCTGCAGGATGCACTTGGCCTGCAGTAACTTCTACTCCTCATGACATTGCCAAGAGGCAGGTATGACTGATCCCATTTTACTTATCAAGAAAGTGAGGCACAAAGTGGTTAAGTAACTTGCCCCAGGACACAGGACAGGGGGCACACAGTAGGTGGCGGGTGGGTAGGAAACCTGCCCCTCTCTGATGTCTTCACTGTGTGTAGCCTCCTCTGTATGTGACACTGCTCTGCTTTCCAGGGCTTTCCATCCATCCCAGACAGGCTGCTTAGTCCCTGAGGCTTCTGGGGGTTCTTCCACCCTGCCGGGCCTGAGTTTGCACGTGCTGGGTACAAGGTCCCGGCAATTAGCCGTAATCACTTGGGTGAGATCTGTCATCAACACCGCCACAGCCCAGCTCTACCACCATGCAGCTGGATGCCTCTTACACAGCCTGGTTCAGCCTCGGCCTGGGGTTGGGTGGGCAAGGGGTCCTGGGGTCACCAAGCACAGCCCTGCCTCCACATGGGCTGGGACATCTGCTCTCGGAGTGGGGTCCAGTCGCTTGGTCAAAGAAAAGTCCTTACTCCCTGCCTGGTCCCACCCTCTCTACTCTGCTGCGGGTCATGCTCCAACTATAAGGTCCTGCTGAGTCCTTGCATGATGTTCTTCTCAACCTGGAGTCTGTGCTCTTCTGTCTTTAGAAATCCCCAGAGGACCTATCAGGAGAGGAGGGAGCCAACTCTTGTTATACAAAGAGGACAGAGGGAACATGTTCCTGGACAGTGTGTGTTTGGAACAGGAGGGGAGGGAGAAGACCAGGTGGCTTTAAATACCCTTCACAACCCATGAAATCTGGCCCATTGTACCTCCCATCCCATGCTTCAGGCCACCAGAGAGTTGTCATGGTCTGGTGCCAGCTGACCTCACCCTTCCTGGTTCTCCCAGCACACACCAACCCTCTCCAGTTATATCTAATGTCCTGTGGCCAGTTTAATACTCTCCTCTGAATGCAGACTCAATGTCCCCTTGTCCAGAGGTCTTTTTGTCCTACGTCCCCAATGCCACCTGGGAGAGTTCAAGCTCCCATAAAAGCTCGTACCCTCTCACATTATGTCACAGGCACCTGTTTGGGCTCACAAGGTTTGAATGATGCCAGGAACATTGTGCTCTATGGTGTTGGCTATTTGTATCATCATTATTAACACGTTTGCATGTGTCTCCTCCACGAATAACATCCTCCATTAATGGAGTGCTTCTTACGTGCTGGCAGGCACTGTGCTTGATATCAGGCATGTGCCATCTATTATTCTTCCCATTTCCAAGATGAGAAAACTGATCCTGAAGGAGGTTAGGACCCAGTTGTGTCCTGGGCAGTCTGCTCCCCAGCTTGACTGGGCCTGGGTGCCAACCTCACTGCATGGATGAGCAAGCATGTGATGCAGGGCCCAGGCATGAAGCATGCTGCTTCCTGCTGGGACCTCAAAAACACATGCCCAGCAGCATCACTGCTTCAGCCCCTTCCCTCCCTCTCTTTTCTAATAAAAAGACCCCCATCCACACACACAACACAGGAGTCTGTGAAAGCTCCTTCCAGCTGCTGCCCATCCTTTCAGCCTGAGCAGCAGGAAGGCTAGCAGCGCTGACCGCAGGAGAAGAGCCTGGGGTGCCACTTAGCATGCCCAGAGCGGGGGCCAGGATGGCTGCAGCCAGTCCCACAGGCCGTCAGAAAGAAAAGCAAGTAGGGGTTATAGAAACTATGTCTCACAAGGCGCCGTAGGCATTTGCTTTTACACTTTGAAAACCAAAGATGCAACCCCCCCGCTCCGCCGGAGCCTGAGTGGGGTTTATTGCTTGGAAGGAGTCCCAGGGAAATGGGGGGAGGTGGCAGGCAGGGGCAGAAAGCCCCTCCAAATGTCCCACCTCCCCTGCTCGCAAAGCTTAGTCCCCCAGTCCAGATCCCCCCACGCCTCCCCTATCCCGACCCATGCTGGGAAAACTGTCTCATGGCAAAGTGGCCTCAAAGCCAAACCAAACACTCTGAGTGTTCCCAGGCTCCGCAGACGGCTGGCACCAAGGGGCCCAGTCTGCTCTGAGCCGACAGGGCCTCTTGAGTGGGGAAGGACCCCTCTGACCGAGAGGAGGGCAGGGCCCCATTCTAGCCTGCCCTATGTTCCCGCTTGCTGAATGACTTTGGGCAAGTCCTGTCCTCTCGGCCTCAGTTTCCCCATGTGTATAATGAAAGAGCAGGAATGACCCATGGGCTTTGAAATGCTTTCTAGCAGCAGAAGCCAGGGGTGAGATCTCAGGCTAAAGCGCAAAGTATAAAGCACAGGAAAGCAGGGCTGGTGCTGGAGACAGTGTCAGATGTCTGTCCTCTGAGGTCCCTCTGTAGGGCTTCCTGGAGCGGGGGGGCCAATCTTGGCATGACAGGGCCTCCGAGAGCCGTGTGGCGGGGGGAGGGGGGCTTCTGGGAGTCTCGGAGTGATGGCTTTCCTGCCAACACAAGGGGCTGCTGGGCTGTGCCCTGGGTGGCCTCTGAGGAGACACAGGGAAGACAGAGCCTGGGGCAGCAGGGCCTGGGTGACGGTGGCCCTGCTGCCTGGGGGTGGAGTTCCCGATGGGAGACCGCACTGCGGCTCCAGCCTGGGCCTCAGCCTCTCTGGGCCAAGCACCCCAGATGCAGGCAGAGATCTAAAGTGACAATAAAACTGCTGGAAAAAAACACAGGCAGTAAACTCTCTGACATTTCTCTTAGTAATTTTTTTTTTCTGTTTTATCTTCTAGGGCAAGGGAAACAAAGGAATAAACAAATGGGACTACATTAAACTAAAAAGTTTTTCATAACAAAGGAAAACATCAACAAAATGAAAAGACAACCCACTGAATGGGAGAACATGTTCACCAATGATACATCTGGTAAGGGGTTAATGTCCAAAATTTATAAGGAACTCATACAACTCAATACCAAAAAACAAACAAACAAAAACAATCCAATTAAAAAATTGGGCAGAGGACCTGAATAGACACTTCTCCAAACAGGCATATGAAAAGACGCTCAACATCACTAATCATTAGCAAAATGCAAATGAAAACCACAAGGAGATAACACTTCACACCTATCAGAATGTCTTTCATCAATAAATCAACGAACAATAAATGTTGTAGAAGATGTGGAGAAAAAGGAACCCTAGTGCACTGCTGATGAAAATGCAGACTGGTGCAGCCACTGTGGAAAACAGTATGGAGGGTCCTCGACAAATTAAAAATAGAACTGTCTTATGACCCAGCGATTCTAATTCTGGATATATATCCAAAGAAATCCAAAACACCAGTTTTAAAATATGTGCGTCCCTGTGTTCACTGCAGCATTATTTACAACAGCCAAGATATGAAAGCAACCCAAATGGACAGAGAAGAGGTGGTACATATATACAATGGAATATTACTTGGCCATAAAAAGAATGAAATCTTACCATTTGCAACAATATCGATGGACCTAAAGGATATTATGCTAAATAAAATAAGTCAGACAGAGGGAGACAAATACCATACGATTTTCACTTCTTTGCAAAATCTAAAGAACAAAGTAAACAAACAAAACAGAAACAGATTCAGATACAGAGAACAAGCTCAGGGTTGCCAGATGGGAGGTGGGTGGGTGGGCTGGATAAAAAAGGTGAAAGGATTAAGAAATACAAATCGGGAGTTACAAAACAGTCATGGGGATGTGAAGTGCAGCACAGGGAGTATACTCAATACAGTCACTAGAGCGACATACAATGCCGGGTGGGTACTAGAATTATCAAGGGATCACTTCGTAAATTATGTAATTGTTAAACTGCTATGCTGTACACCTGAAACTAATATAAAATAATATTGAATGTCAACCATAATTGAAAAACTAAAAAAAATGAAGTGATGGGTTTGCCTGCAACCCAGTGGTCCTGGTATCTCAGATCCACAGCAGCCTCCAGGCCTTTGTCCGGGTGGGTTTTCTCTGTTGGAAGCTCCTCACCCTCCCCTTGGCCGCCAGGACCGCTTCTGACTCTGAGGGCCCTGACCGCCAGCTGTCACTGACTAAATTACTTTGCAGGCACAGGCAGATGGACTGTGGCTTCAGGGCTCTTTTAGCTGCAACATAATGGGGAGCTGTCCCTGCTCAGCCGTGACATGACACTCTTCCTACTCTGCACCCCCCGCCCGCAGCACTTAACACAGGGCTGGGCATCCGGTATGTGGCCAATGCGCTCCTGTTCAGTCGGGTGGGGGGTATATCTTGCAGCGCCTGCCTAGCGGCTCATTTCAGGCTGTGAGCCTAAGCTGTGCTGAAGGCTCATGGGCAGCTTCTGCTGTGTAGGGGGGGCATCTTAGACCATCTGAGAGTCAAAGGCTCAGTCTGCCCAGCAACACAGGAGACCACTGTTACTGTCAGTGGTCTGATGCCAGCTTACCACTTTATATGAACCATCTCATTTACCCTCGAAGCCTCAAAGCAAGTACAAGGGGCAGGGATTTGAATTCTGGGCTGCCTGAATTTGTCGGTGCTTTTATTCACTGAGGGATCCTGCTCCCCATTTCTCATGGGGACATCTTCTACCTCTAACCAGATGGGGTCCTGGCTTCCTGCAGAGACATTGGCTGCCCTGGACCAGGGAGAGGACCTGGCTGTGCTAGGAGAAACTGAAGCTGGAGAACTTCAGGGCAGGAAGGGCTGGTCCCCAGGAGCGGCGCAGGCCCCGCCCCAGAGCCTCGGGGCTGGAACTCTGAGCAGCCTCTGGTCTTCAGTTTAAACTTCAGGAGAAATTGAGGCCCAGAAGGCAAAGACCTCATGTCCATGTGTGTCCTGCACCCCCTGCCCCTGCATAGTGGCCCCCACAAAGCTCTGCGTCCATCGCATACTGTGACTTGCTTCAGGCCATGCCCAGCTCTTCCCTGCACCTGCACCTGCACCTTCCAGTCCTGGTGGCCCAGCACCCTGCTCCCTTGTTTATCCAACCCTAACCCTTCCTCTCCCCCAACACACACTTTGTGGGCTTGGAGAACAACAGAGCTGGCACAACCTTCAAAGACCAGGCAAACCTGAGCTGCACAAAAGGAGAAATAGGACTGCCGCAGATCCGACCTCACAGGGGCGGTGCCCTGCCCATGCCCAGCCTGGGAGTGGTCCCTGCCCTGCTGCCCCCTCCTGGCCCTCGGACGTGCAGTCCTCTGCGCCATTGTGCAGCCATCTGCGGACACAGGCTCGGCCCTTTCCGTGGGTCCCCATAAATCATCCTGTCACGGGCTGCTGCTTCTCTAAACTTCCTCCCGTGTGTTTACATCTCGGGTAATGAGGGGTGAGGGGAGGCCCTCCTGCTCCAGGTGGTGTCCTGCCCAGGCGCTTGCAGCCCCCACCCTGGCGCTCTCCTTCCTTCTCCTATGCAGTGACCCACAGAAGTCCAACCCAGATCTGCTCCCCAGGGCTCCCGACCTAGACGCACAAGTGAGGAATTGCAGTCTGTGCGACTGTGCCAGGACAGGACGCCCGAGGGGGGGGGGGGCGGGGGCAGCTGCGGGAGTGCGGGGGAGGGGAGAGCAGGGAGCGCTAAGGCAGGAAGGGGGCCCTCAGCCGGGCAAGGATGGGGAGACGCTTGCCCGGCGAGGGTGGCAGGGGCGTTTGTGTGGTGGTTGAACAACTGTACCCTTAGCATGAGACAGACCTGTGTGTGGGTTCTGACTCCACACCTGACTTGCTATGTGGCCTTGGGCAAGTTACCTGACCTTGCTGAGACTCAGTTTCCTTGTTTGTCAAACAAGGACCCCTGACAGGACTGCGGGGTGTGCTGGCTATAAGTGCCTGGCACAGAAAAAGCTCAACAGATGTCCGCTGGCACCCAGCCCAGCAGAGAGAGGCACGTACGAAGGTGAGGAGCTCGGGGGGCGGCGGTGGCTGGGCATGACCTGCTGACAGGGAGCCCAAGGCCTGGCAAGGACAGGGCCCTCGGTACCCCTCGGGACGAGGGGCGGAGGGCAAGGCAGGAAAGAAGGGGGCAGGCACTGCGTCTGGGCAGAGCTGCAGGGAGTTAACCTGGAGGCGGTGGGAGCTACGAAGAATCTGAAGGTAATGAGCAGTGCTGTGCTAGGGCCAGGAGACGTGTCAGGATCCTGCTGCAGGATCGTGGCTGGAAGATGAGCTGGGGAGAGGGAAGGTGCGCTTGGGAACCTGAAGGGGATGGAGTGAGACCTGGGAGTGACAGAGGCTGTGCCCTGCCCCCAGGCCTCTCATGGAGCCCAGGGCCTGCTTCCCTAAGAAGCTAAGAAGCAGTGGGGACACTTTGAACAAACAGACTGCCTGTTGGTGGCAACTTCCTTCTCCAACCCAAGCAGATGGGAGAAAGTTACCCACCATAATTTACCTGTTGGGACTGAGAAGGGCTCCCTCTTGCCGAAGAAAAGCAGTTTTCTTCTCCTAAAACCAGGCTCTGTGTTTCAGAGCTTCGTGTTGTGAAAAGGAAACTGTTGCCGAGTCATTTGCCCAAATTTACCTTTCAGACACGGTTAGGTGCTAGGGGTCTGTTGCTGGAGCTGACAGCCTAGCCTCCTGTCACCCGGCGGGCTGCGCCCACCACTGGCCAGGTCTCTTGGTCACCAGGTAGGTGGATCAGAACTGAGCGGCCCGCTCAATGGAAGCACTTCATGGGCGGCCACTGCCTCCCCGGCAGCCTGTGGCCCTCCCCAGGGCTGAAGGAAGCAGCTCCGTAACTCTATGCCCTCGTTCCAGGTTTGAAGGGGGCGGCGCATGCTGGGCACGTGAGCCGAACATGTTGCAGCCAATACTGCTGCAGCAGTGCCGCTGCCTGAGGCAGGCCGGGCAGCCAAGGGCTCCGCAGAAGGACGTTCCCCAGGAGCCCAAGTCAGGTGCTGTGCGCCACCACACAGCCAAAGGAGCAACGGACTCGGCTCATATTTACTGGAAGTTTCTTTAAGATTGTGTACACCCCGCACTTCAAGAGCGTGGACTGGACTATGTCAACCTTTTGTTGGTGACTCGGAGACCTGGCTGCAGAAAGATCATGCCTGAATAGCGTGGGTGGCAGCTCCTTATTTCTGTGTGACCCTGGACAAGCCCCCTGCCCTGGGCCTTGGTTCAACATCTGTAAATGCAGAGCTGGTTCTGTGTATTCTAAAGCTGCTCAGAAGAATCTCCAGTGTGCATTCAGCACACAGCTCCCCAGGCCCCCGCAGGTGCCGATTCAGGTGCAGTGGGGCCTGGGAGCTTGTTTAATGAGTGCCCAGGGAGGCTCTTTCTGAGGATGCGGAGGAAACCCTGGAAGAGGAACTGCAGGGTTCAGATGGAGACTCCAAGTCGCCGAGGGCCCCCTGCAGGGCACGGTGTCCAGGGCTGCGCTCCTGCGGTGGGAATGTCTCTGCCTTTCCCTGATAGTCACTCCCTGGAACATCCCAGGTGCTCTGGAGATGCTGTTCACTAAATATGAAGATTCTTGCCCCAAAGCGGATTCTAGGGAGACTGCTCTCTACTGAACTTGTGGCAGAGGTTGGAAGACAGCATCCTGGGTACAGCAGGAGCTTTGGTGACAAACAAGCTGAGGGGGTGGTGCAAGGTGGCAGGAGGGGCACATGGACAGAGGACAGGGAGGTATCAATACATTAGGGTGATTTCTGCACCTGCCCATTTTCAACAAGGTGTATCACGGATTTCACATCCCCTCTTGAGACTGAGCCCACAGCACTAGAATGCCCGGTGTCCTCTGTCACCTCTCTCTGGCACAGGGGATCCTCTCTGTAGTCTCCCTGCCAGGGTTTCAGCCACCCAGGCCTTCAGGTACAGGGAGCTCACAGCCTTTTGATATAACCAGCCCATTCCATTTTTTTCCTGGCTCCAGTGGAGCCGGCTTTGCACAGCAGGTGCGTCCCAGGAAATTAAGGGCAAAGCAGACTTTTGTCCACTGCACTTGAAGGAAGCTTCTATTCTCTCATTTTAAAAAGGAGGAAATTATACTTGCTCTCATTTTGAGAATAAAATGAAAAATCAGATGCAAGAGTGCTCTATAAACCCTGAAAGATGAGCAGGAGGACAAGCCAGCCCTGAGGTTTCTGCTGGGGCACTCACCCGCCACACTTCCTCAGAGCGGGGCTTGCAGATGACAGAGTGTGCCCGGCCCGGGGGCAATGGGGGGGGGCTGCCCGGGAGAGATGTCCAGCTCCCAGCAGACCTGCCCCTCCCCAGCTCACCTGTCCTCGATGCGGACCCAGAGGTCATTGAACTGCCGCGGCCGCTGGTGTTTATTCTGCCTCTTGTGCCACTTCTTCTGCCGCCCGAACTCCTCCAGCTGGCTGAGGCTGTCGGGGAGCAGGAGGTGTGGGGATAGGGCTGGGTCCTCCTCTTCGGGTGGGGCCGTGGGGGTCACCGAGGGTGCTGCTGGCACAACAGCAGCTGGGGTCACTGGGGCTGGGCTCGCTGAGGTCCCCTCAGATGGTGGTGCAGGGCTCCTGGCAGGAGGGCTGGAAAAGGCAACATTTTGCATAGTGTCATTCACGTGTGACAAGGGATACAATTCAGTGGGAAAGTAGTCATGGCAAGAGAAGATGCCAGTGTGCCCCTGCTGGGCCTCGTGAGGATAACCCGTGAAAACCATTGTCTGGTGCTGAGACAGAGCTTTGACTCCTTTTGTTTATTGATTCAATAAATATTGAGCATCTACTCTGCACCCAGCACTTTTCTAGGAATTGAGCAGAAGCAGTAACCCAAACAAAGTCCTGTCCTGTTAGAGCTAACAATGTGAAGCAGAAAACAGAGAGTAAGACATACGGGATGTCCAACGGTGATGACTGCTGGGGAGACGAAGCAGGGCAGCAGAGAGTGGGGGTGCAGTCCTGGGCAGGGAACGTGACCTGGTCACTGCGGTGCTGGTGGGTGACCTTTGAGCTCAGACCGATAAATAGGAGGTGACGCAGTGAGCCATGGGCAGGTCCCTGGCTCTGGGTCTTATTCATTCAACAATCTTTGGCTGAGGGACTTTGGGTGAGTTGCCTAACTTTGCTGTGCCTCAGTCTCCTGCACGTGAGCCGAACGTGTTGCAGCCAATGAACCTGAAGGCCCAGAGAGGTGAAGTCACCTGCAGAAAGTCACCTGTTCCTGGAAAACGGGGATATTACAGCCTGTGTCCCAGAAGGGAATCACCAGAATTACGTAAGTTGACACAGGAAAAATACTTAGAACAGTGCCTGGCAAATAGCAAGGTACTGGAACATTTTAATAATTAACATTATTAATTAAATATTACAATTGTTGCTTATGTCATTCAGCCAACTATCCATTCGTGCATTTAACACACATTCACTGAGCACCTTTTTGGGGAGGCAGGATGGTGTGAGGCAGATTAGAGCTCCAGCTGGAGGTTGATAGACATGGGTGCACAGCCTGGCTCTGCCACTCACAGGCTGGGTGACTAAGGGCAGGTGACACAATTGTCTCAAGCAGCAATCAGCTGTAAAACAGGAGTTGCAATGCCACGTCTTGAGGATGGATGAGATGCCTGGCACGTAACAAGCCTGACTGTAATGCTGGCCAGCAAGCATAGCAGGGCCTGACTGTAGCGACACTGGAGTGTCCATCGGGGGGTGTGTGTGTGTAATTCACATTCCATACAGAGGTGTACACAGACACCCCGTAGCCTCGGAACACCCTCTGCTCCTCTCTCTTTTATTCTCTTGTCTCGGAGACCCAAGTGGAATTCCTTTTGGGGCCATCCATCCCTGGGAGAAGGCTGGCCGTGGTTTCGGGAATTGCAAAGGTAGGGTGGCACCCAAGGCAATGAGCAGCCTGTCCCCCCACCTCTCTCCCGCAGGCATGAGGGGTGAGGGGCCTCTCTCTCCTTGAAGGGGAGAAGGCCGTTAGCCCAGCCTATCCACCCCCAGCCCCCACGGCCACTCCAGATTCCCAGGGTCCAGGAGATGCCGCAGATGCTGGGGAGATAATTCAAAACAGGCAGACAAAAAGACGGATCCAGGAAGCACCTGTGGCCGATGATGTCTTTTATTGTTGGGGCCTCCTCGGCATCCCCGCTCCTTCACCCACCCGTAGGGTTTCAGCCTGTACTCGGAGACCATGACTGAGAGCCTGTGGAGCAGGCTCTGGGATGGCGGGAGAGGAGTGAGGAGATCCTCCTTGAATGCCTGGTCCCTAAATGAATAGGAGTCGGGGCAGCCTCTCCCACCCCCGCCCCTACCCTGACCTGGACAGATACAATGAGCTTCAAGGTGAAGGTCCTCGTGCTGTGTGAGGAGCTTGAGGAATGCTTTGTCCCCAAGGCTACCTTGTCTCTTACCCCTCAAACACATGCCTGCCCAGGCCTCGTAGCATCGGATTTGTACGGCACTAAAGGTTCAGGAAGAGCAGTCTTGTCGGGTTGGTTCAGAAGATGGGAAGAGGAAGGAGTCCAGCATGAGAACGTTTATAAGTTCCTTTAGAAGTACCATGGAGACGGGGGCAAACAATGACCCTGAGCAAGGACACCAGAGGCTCAATGCCCTGGGCAGCCCAGGCCTCATCTCTGCAGGGTGCAGAGCGGGCCTCAGCCATTTCTGAGCACTCCCACCCTTGGGTCCACCCTGACCCCCAGAGGGACCCAGGGTTAGGGGCTTAGGAAGGCCCTAGACTGCCATGTACACCAGCTGTGTGTCTTTCTGCAGGTGACTTCACCTCTCCGGGCCTCAGGTTCCTGTTTTAAGATGAGGATACATGATTGTCATGAGGATTCAATGAGTTAAAAGTGCTTAGAACCTGGTACACAGTGAGATATTAACAAATATTAACTATGATTATTCAAGCTTCTTTAGGACTCTGGGTCTTGTAACATCAGGGACAGGGACCCAAACCACACTACGGTCGCCTTTGTGAGCTGGTGAGGAAGGTGTTTCTATAACGGTTGGATGGAGCAAGGGCTGCATGGGACCCATGGGTCTGAGGGCCCTGGTTGACCCCTGGAGCTGCCCACATGCAGACACTTCCGCTGTCCCGGGCCTGGCGCTGGCACTGTGGGACGCACATGTTCCCGCTGACCCCTGCCTTTAGGCAGCTCCTGGGGTGGGGGAACCCCCACAGGAAGATGACCATGATACGGCTCTTTGAGTGGAGTGGAGTGGGGTGCTCTGGCAGGAGAGTAGAGGCAGGTGGACACAGCCAGGTGGCAGCAATGAGGAAAGTGTGGTCAGAGGAAGGTGAGGACTAGATGCAGGAGGGGCTGGGACGCAGGAAGGAGGCTAGGCCGTTGCTCATCCTGACTATGGTCCCACTTCAGTTCAGGGCTCCAGCATCCCCTACATCCTCAAGGCAGCCACCCAGGAGTCCCACGAGTCCTTCCAGCCCACCGGATCAGCGGTCCCTAAGTCCTGAGCATCTCCCGACGGTTCACTCCCCTCCCATTCCCACCACCACTGCCAGGCCCACCACCCTGACCTCCTGCCAGGGCTGTGCTTCAGGCTTCTTCCCAGTCTCCCCACCTGCAGTCTAGCTTCTCTTCTTTTGGGCGTCCGGTCAAGGCTCGTCCCTACGAGGTCCCATCTCACCAGAGGCTTCCTCACAGCTCTCGCCTCAGGCCTGAGCGGGAAGGCAGGATGCAGCCCAGCCCTGCGGCCTGTGGTCAGGGACGGCCCATGGACCAGCAGCAGCAGGCCAGCCAGTCCCGCCCTGCAGACATTCCGGCTGCTCACCTGTGGATGGTCTGCCCTGCGGGCGTGTGTTCCACCTCCAGCCCTGCCTGCCGGAGGACGTCAATGACTGTGTTGTTCCCCAGAAAGTGACCTGGAACACAAGAGACAAAGTGGGCTCGGTCATATGCCAGGACCCCAGCAGCTGGGGACGCCTCAGGCCGGCGGCCTGCACCAGCACTGAGGCCCCAGACTCCCTGAGGGGCAGGATGGTATACGGGGAAGGTGTCCGGGGTCACCCTGCCTGGGTCCCAATCCTGGCTCTGCCGCTTACTGGTTGTACCTTCCTGTGCTTCAGTTCTCCACTCTGTAAAGTGGGAATGACTGTGGATAGTGACCTCCGGAGAGGCTGTGAGGACCACAGGAACGGTGGTGGCATGGAGTGAAGGCTCACAGCGTTTTCTGTGGCCTCGCTGTGCTCACACCATGAGGCTGACCCCAGCCCCCGACTGCCCAGGCCAGGACGGCCTTCAGCACTCCATGAGTGGGGGGTACATTTACGATACACTTGCTCTACAGTCGATACTGGGAATATAGGTGTAAATCATCTAACCTACAGCCCCAGATGGGAGCAGGAGTCGGCCTTCTTTGGCAGGTGCAAGACAGGTCTGAGAGCACAGGGAAGGTTCCCGGTTAGGAAGGTTAGCAAGGACCCTCCGGAGGCCCAGGGACTGTGGAGACAACAGCTGCTGGGAGTCAGCACCTGTCGAGCCCGTCCTGCCTCCCCAGGCCTCAGCCTCCCCACCTGGTGAGTGTGGGCAGAGTGGCGGCGGCCCCTGGTGCCCTCCCCACCTATGCGCCTGCCCAGTGGCCCACTCCCACGGGCAGCTCCTCCTGCTCACCATTCATCCCAGAACCCGGGGGAAATCCCTGCACTGTTACTGTAATTGCCTGTGACGGGTGGTGACAGGTGGGAAGCGGAAGGTCAGCATGTTGACAGCCCCAGGGAGGTCTGAGCACAGAGAGGAGATAGGCGGTGGGGGAATGGAGAGGCTCCTGCACAGAGGAAGCCGGGCTGGGGGGCTGCACAGCGGCTGGAGCAGAGGGTGAAGCTTGCAGCCCTTCACTGGCCCGCCCTCCACCCCACCACTGGCTTCGCCACTCCCCGGCAAGTAGTCCCCCACCCAGCAGTCTCTCTTGCCAGCCTGGCACAGTCCCTGAAATTCACCCCTGGATCACTACATAAGATCACTGGGCTGGGAACGGGAGAAGGGTTCTCGTCCTGGACCCACCACACTCACTGTGAGACCTTGGGCAAAACCGTGCCGCTGGAATGCCCTGTTTCTCTCAGCATACAAGGGAGTGGGCTGCATGACACCTACGGGCTCCCCTAGCTCTCAGATTCCACGGGGAAGGCTGCGTTTGACTCGAGACCTTTATGAAAGTGTCTTCTCCCTTCCTTTTTTTTCCCTCTCTCCCTCCCTTTCTCCACCTACCCACCTGATAGACACGGAGTGAGTGCATACCTGGTGCTGGACAGTGGTGAACAGGTGAGGGCCTGTCCCAGGCATGCACAGGCTTGAGAATCAGGCTTTTCTGACCCAGACACTAATGCTATGCTGCAGGAAGCATAGTATCCCACAGGAGGGATCAGGGCAGACTTCCTGGAGGAGGCATCACTAGCTAGGTGAGGATGGGAGTGGGGTGGCACCTAAGGGAGGGTGCTCCAGGTAGGGGGAATGGCATGTGAAGAGACTAGGGGTCAAGTGAGGTATTTTGGGGAAGCTAGCTGCAGAAGACACATGGATAATGCGGGTGTGATAGGCCCTCCCAGGCTCCGGCTCTGACCCAGTGCTATTGAGGACAGAAGACCCAGATTCCTGCCAAGGCAGTGAGTCTCCACTCTGTAATCCTGAGCAAGTGGCTTCTCTGCCCCCAGCTTGTTTCCCTGTGTGTCACATAGGCAGGCCTCCCTTTGGCCCACAGCTTGGGCAGCTATAAAGCCCTAACGAAGCAAGCAGAGGGAATGTCCTTTGGAAAAGCCCAGCATGCCCTCCCAACCGATGGGCTAAGCAGGCCCCTGGCTGAGGCCACAGAGTCATCCCCATTCTTGCTTGTCCACAAACATGACTGGGCTGGAAGGGGGACTGGGCATGGCAGCCTCCAGTGCACAGGATGCAGGAACTCCTTGCCAGCAGCTCTTGGAATCCACTCCTGACAGCAGAGCCAATTCCTTCCCTGCCTCCATGGAGACCTGTTTAAAGATGAGGGCTTCTAGGCTCAGCAGTGATTTCAAGAGCCTCCAGGGAAAACAGCCCGCTTCAGGCTGCACAGGAGCAGCAGTGAATATTTACTGAAGGCCTCGCCGCCGCTCCAAAAGGAACATTCCTAGGGCTGGGGAAGTGGGTATTTGGAGGGGACAGGCCGGATCCTGAGCATTTCCCAGCAACGTTTCAGTGTCCAGTCAGCGCCCTGTCCATTCCCTGCACCTCAGTGGTTTCAGGCCTTATCGTGAAAGCTTAAGACCCTAAACAGAAGACTTTTAGATACTTTGGAAAGTTGGAGGCAATCAGGAAAGATTATTTCAAATTGCCCTCCTTCCCTCTCTAAGGTGCACTCATCTTCACCTCCTTCCCTCCTGGACAGGGAGACGGTGACCCTCCTGTCCCTCCCCTGTACGAGGCGGCGCTATGCACAGCTCCAGGAGACACCCTCCCGGGTAGGCCGTGCCCCAACACCGTGCCGTGCAAGCCGCTCACCCCTGAGCCCATGCTCCCACCACCCTCAGCCCCGCCGCCCTCTGTGGGGCTTGCTTTCAGGGGACCACACAGCACTGTCCTGTCCTGGTTCGTCCTCCTGTCACCGCTCCCTGTCCACCCTCTTGGCGGGGTCCTCTTTTCTTCTCACTCTCCTCACAGTCTGTGGGCAGATCACCCACCCTCTGGTTTTGGCTACCACACAGTGCTGACCATTCTGGAGCTGCAGCCCTAGCTCAGACCCATTTGTCCAGTGGCCTGTTGGACATCTGCCCCTAACACCCCCCAGAGCCTACAAAATCCGACTCAGCCTCCCCTCCTAGGATGTGCCTCAACTGAGCTCTGCTCTCCAAGTCAGATGGCCCCTGTCTTGACCGTTGCCCTTCTTCATCCTGATCCATTCGGTCATCAGAATCCCCCTGATTTTACCTCCTAGTCATGCTTGACCTCTGGCCCATGTCACCTTCTGCTGAAATCACCCTCCTCCCTGCTGCCTGAATGACCTTCCCATACCCCAGTCTGTCAGAGCATGCCCCCAACAAGCCATCTGATGGGACACTGTGAGCTTTTCAAGGATAGGGGACATGTCTGATTCATCTCTGACGCAGGGCTGAACCCAAGTCTGGCTCCCAGTGGTGGATTCATGACGGTTGAATGAATGAGTGACAAAACCTGCGACTCAATATATCCTTTCCATGATCTCATCCAACCCCCAGGAGACCTGAGCTCATGATCCCCTCCCCTTGTAGCCCTGGCCAGCCCTTTGGTGTTGCTCATGCAGATTCCACCAATCCCAAGAGCTTGGCTCTTAGACCTGCCTCTGAGTCAAGGCCCAGCGCATGTTGTCCCCAGGGGCTGGCAGACAGGGCCTAGGCTTGCCTCCAAGATCAGAAATCCTGAAACTGGCGCCACACCCATCCTGGAACCTGCAGGAAGGTGTGGAAAGTTTCCAAAGGGGCCCCCAGTGTTGGGGTTTAGCCTGTGTGGCTTGCCCAGGCTCCCGGGGTCTCCTGGCCACTGCTCAGCAGCTCCTTCCAGCACTGACAGCTGTGCTCTGGCCAGCTCTCTGCAGGAAGGCACGTTCCATTTCATCTGCTGAGGCCATGTGGATGAGGAAAGGAGGAGAGAGGAAGGACAGCAGGGGGTGGGGCACACGGAGACACCGAGGCAGAGTCAGGGGGACACACAGAAGGGCAGAAAGAGGAGAGAGATATCACAGGGAGCTCAGGACACAAAGAAATAGAGAGGAGAAAGACAGTGGAGAGGAGAGGAGGCCCAGGCAATAAGGGGACATGGGCAGTAAGAGACATACAGGAACACAGAGACAATGGTAGGGAGAGAAGGAAAAGGAGAGACTCCTAGACAAAGAGAGAAAGTGATAGAAAGAAACAAGGATACGGCAATGAGATGCAAAGAGACAGAGACAGAGACAGATAGAAAAGGAAAGGGTCAGAGAAGAGAGAGGAGAAACAGAACCCCGAAATGGAAACAAGGGGCACAGTGGAGGAGAGACTAATCCACTGAGGACAACAGGGTTGCCTTCCTAGAGGAGGGGCCCATGTAGCCAGGACTCCTAGGATGGGAGGGATTTAGACAGAGATGCAAGGAGCAAGATCACATCCTGAGAATGGTGTGGCTGGTATGGTGTTGCCTCTTGTGACTTGCAAGCCACAGTGCTACGTAAAAGGCATTCATATATGAACAAGGAAGGTGTCCTGATCTGAGCGAGCACAGCCCTACCACATTACAGTGCAGAAAAAGGGCTCTTTTTCTTCTGGGCCCAAGCAGGCTTGTGCCAGGGCACGGGGCTCAGTGAACAGAGCATAGGCTGGTTGCAGCCCGACAGCCCCAGTTTAGCCTTCGACACGGAAAGGCCGGGTGGGACAGAAAGAAGACTCCTATCCTGGGGTTAGGACAGGAAACCTGGCTCAGTAGCCCCTTGGCCGTGTGACCTTGGGCAGCTTCCTTGCCTGCTCTGTGCCTCAGTTTCTCCATATGGTCCAGAGGTCCTCCCACCTCTATGATTTCACCACCTGATGACCTGACCACAAACTCCTACTTAGTGAGCCTCCTGGGTACACGGGACTTTTCCAACATTCTTTCATTTCATCCTCACAGCAGCCGTTGTGGTCCCCCAGGTTATGAGGGAACTGGGGCCCAGTGAGGGGATGGGACTTGCCCAGGTCACACAGCTGGTGAAAGGTGAAGAGATGTCCTCGCTCATCGCACGTCCCTGCACACCCACTCTGAGGTATTGGTGGCTGCAAGGGATCCTGAGTTCATGTTTTGGGGGCAGGAAGTTGTCAGAAACATGTGTACCTTCCAAGGTTCACCAGATCGAAGGGAAAGTGTATGAGTGCTCAGCAAGAACAACCTGCCAATTAACAGGGTAATTTCA